TATCATTTTCATGAATTGGAAGACTTAGTGTTGTTAAGTTATAAATTCTCCACACATCAATCTATAATCCCAGGAGGGATTTTAAGAAACTGATCCTAAAATTTCTGTAGAAATGTAAATTTCCCCTTTTAATCCTTTTTTCCCAGTTGTTATTTTTTAAAAGAGATCAGAAAATTAAAGGCTACATCTCTCAGACTCTCTTGAAACTAGGAGACTGGAGGGAAATTGTGTCTACCATGTAAAAGCAGTCATATAATATTCAGAGATCAGAATTAAGGCATAGGCCAATTTCTTCCTGCTGCTTCTCCTTCTAAAAAGCTAAGATCAGATGTAGGTAAATGTTTGTGGCCGTTTTCCACTTTCCTTTATCTAGTTATCAACATCATGAGATTAAAAATGCGTTGCAGAAGTAGTGGTGACAGCAGCAGCTTCCTGACCTCCAGATCGTGATTTCAGTGATGCGGCCTTGAAATCAATAGTCCAAAAGTGACTTCTAGCCTTCTCAGCTCTTTCTTTTAAAGAAATTTGGAGGGATTTCTGTTTTCTGCACTGAAATGTGGCTAATTCAATGCTCCACAAGTCTTAAGGTTTTATTTTAATCTGTTTCTTTCCCTTTGCCATGAAGTATTGCCTTCTGATTCACTAAGTCTCTCTTAAACTGTGTCCCCATAGAGGTGATATTATTACTTGAGATTGCAATTTGAAATGATTACATTGTTCATTTCCAAGATTTCTAGTTGTTTTTTATCTGACAGTTTTTGCTTCATATCCGCCTGTTTTTGTTTAGTTCTTAGTGAATGTTTATCCTACATTAATTTCACAAACATACTTATTTGATGCCTTTATTATAGTTTTCTATTAAAACGAATTTCATCCATGGTGAATTCCTGTCTAAATGTTGATTTTTATTGGCCATCTCTTTTGACATTACATTTTTTCACACGTTTTACACTTGTGATTTGCAATTTTTTTAAATCATCTGTCAATCTACCAGAAAGAAGGGAATTCTCCCTCTAAATTTCTGAGCACAGTTTTTTCAAGGCTAAAATACATTTATTATTTTTTTACTTTTTAGTTGAAGTTCACAGCATGTATAAAACCTTAAAATACAATTTATAAAGGTTGCTGGATAAGTTGAAACAACAACAAATTCTGCATATCACAGCATATCCAATGTGTTTTTAGATAAATACTAAATTTGATAGGTTTTACCAAGCACATATTTTATAAATACTGTACTTTTAAAGTTAAAGTTTTATTTTGAGATAATTGTAGATTTACAAGTTATTCTAAGCAATAACCCAGAGAGGTCTTACGTTCCCTTTACTCATTTTCCTCCAATGGTCATATCTTGCGTTACTATTGTACAATATCACAACCAGGATATTGACATACAATCCACACATCTTATCTAGATTCCTCAGTTTTACTTGTACTCATTTGCGTGTATATTTATTTAGTTCTGTGCAACTTTGTTACACGCAGGTTCATATCTCCAACATCATAGTCAAGATAGAGCAGTTTCACCACCACAATGATCTCTCCTGTTGCCCTTTTGTAATCATACCCACCTCCCTCCTGCTTCCCGTTTCTGGCTCCTCATCCCTGATCCCTGGCAACCACTAATCTATCTTTCTTTTCTTATTTTTGTTTTTATTTTTTTGAGGAAGATTAACCCTGAGCTAACATCTGCCGCCAATCCTCCTCTTCTTGCTGAGGAAGAGTGGCCCTGAGCTACCAGCTGTGCCCAGCTTCCTCTATTTTATATGTGGGACACCCACCACAGCATGGCTTGATAAGCAGTGCATATGTTGGCTCCCGGGATCCAAACTAGCGAACCCTGGGCCACCAAAGCAGAACGCACGAATTTAACTGCTATGCCACCAGGCAGGCCCCCTAATCTTTTTCATTCTATAAGTTTGTCATTTCAAGAATGTTATATGATGGAGTCATACAGTATGTAACTCTTTGAGATTGGCTATTTCATCTGAGCACTTTCTAGAACTGTAGTCATTATGTTCGAATAGTATTTCTACCACCTCGGGAAGCATGCAGCATTAATCTCTGTACTGTTCTTGACAAGGGGGTCAGCCTGAATTTAATCATGAGCAAATGGTCAGACAACTACATAATGCAGACCATTGAGCCAGACAACTGTCCCGACCTCTACAAACATGTCAGTGTCACACTACCAAAAACAATCACGAAAGGCGAGGAGATGTTTTTGATCAAAAGCACTAAAGAAATTTAGTAACACAACCTTTTCAGTCCTTTGAAACTCCAAATATCTCTTCTCCTTTTTGTCATCTTATTTGTGGTGACATTAACTGTTTGAAGAAAGACAGGCAAGTTGTCTTGTTCAATGGTTTAAATTCTGCACTCATCTCATAACTACCTCATGATTTAATTTAGGCTAAACGTTTTCAGCGAGAACACTGCATAGTTAACTCTGTCTTCCTACTACAGCCCATCTGGTGGCAAAGAATGCCCAGTTTGTCATGTTGTCTGCTGCCAGTTGCTCCTGATTGCGGTGCTGTACAAGATGGGAACTGAGAGCAGCAAGGGTTAAGGTCTCTCATAACCGTGTGCCAATCTAAGCAGTGGTCTCCTTAGTGATTTATCACAATTGGAGGCTGAAGGACTGGGATTTCTCCCCTCAAACCAGGCTTTGGAGTAAAAATTGTGGAGAGTGCTTTGTGGTTGTTATGTTGATTCTCAGCAAAGGATCCCTTCAGTGTTCTGTTTGGGCTTTAACTTGATTTGCTGGTTGAGACTTTTCCCATCAATGATGAAACCACATCAATGATGCAGTTTCTTTCAAATCAGCAATATCGTCTCTTAGTTTCAGAGTTCTTGGTATCTGAGAGAGAAGAAAATCCAGTGTGAGTCTTTGTCAGGTCCCATTGATAGCTGAGCCTGGAGGGATGGCTATGTGGTGACAGAGGCCAGCAGGAAGCTGAGCTCCTGTTGAGGGGAGGAGCTGAAGGAGGAGCACAGGCTGCTGAAGGGGAAAGTGAGAGCCACAAGGTAGAAGAAACACCTCCCTGCGCTTCCATCCAGGCTGTGGTGCAGCATCGAGGGACACCCTGTCCTCACCCCACCAGGAGCCTGGTGACATCCCAGCTCAGAGCGGCTGCAGAGCCTTAGCCAGAGCCCTACCAGCCTTTCCTCAGCAGCCACTTCACTCCTGAAGCCCCTCAGTCTGGAGCAAAGTGATGGCTTTCCCACACCTCCCAGGGAGGGATGTGCTTAGCATCCATCGTGCACATTTGGAAACAGACTGCTGTCAGAAGTAGAGGACCCTTGGCAGAGAAACATACGCTCTTTAACTCTATGTCGCTGTCCTCTGAGGAGGAGTGGCAGGTTATGGGAGAGCCCTAGAATGTGAGAACAACAGGGACCTCAGAATATATCCGAATCCAGTTCCACGTTTTACAGATGAGGAAGTGTGGTGCCAAAGGGCTAAGGACTAACTAAAGCCACATGCCCTTTTATTGACGACCCTGAACTGAAAGCCAGGCCTCAGGCCCTTTCTGTACATTTGGGGAAAGGTGAGAGGAAAGGCTTCAATCTGGAGGTGTTCAGGCACAGAGGCTGTCAGGTCATCTTAGGTGGAAAGGAATAAGGTTTTACAGAGAAATTCCTCTCCCATGAGACTGGGGAAAGACCCTCCAAAAGGAGAAACTCAAAATGGAATTAGCAAAAAGAGAGCAAGGAGTGTAACTAGGGCCCCACTCATTTTCATCCCATGGGCACCAACATTCTCTGAAGGTAAATTCACTCCAGGATACGTCTTACGGCATTCGTAGGAATATTCTCAATAGGTAGACCCACAAAACTCTGAAACGGAAATGAAAAAGCATTAGTTTTAGTTATCCTAGATTTTCATCAATTCTTTCCAAACTTCCCCTAAAAAAAATCTCTTTTCATATTGTGTGCCAGGGTAAAGAAAGCCATGAAAAGGAATAAACAAAGGAGAACAAGACCCAAGAGTCTTTATTTGGATTTTGCATAAGGAGAAAATTTGATAAAAAATAATTTTTTCCGATCCGCAGTCTGAACCTATTAGTGGGCTGTGAAATCAATTCAGCGAATAGCGGACTGCAGGTTTCATTTTCAAAGTAGAAAAGAAAGAATTCAATTCCATTACTTGTAATAGGAGAGGTATTAGTTTTTATACGCTGGGTTTCTATGTAATATTATTTCTTACTGTATCTTGTACTATAAAAATTGCGAGAAAGTTTGATCTGAATGGAGAGAGCATGTGTCTAACCCATCCGTCTATCTTTTTCCTCTTCTGTTTTCTCCAGGCTGTACAGAGTTCTGTGGAGAGAGGAACGCTGCTTCCATCCCTGGCTGATATTCAGCTTTTCTGTGAAGTAGCCACACACATAGGAAACTTGAGTACTGATGACTGAGATCCTACCAGATCCATAGTCTTTCTAATTCCTACATGCATCTTAGTGGAGCTTTTTAAGATACTGACACCCAAATCCCACCCCAGAACAATTAAATCAGAATCTCAAGGTAGTGGGTCAAGGCATTCATGTCAGTTCATAGCTCTCTCAGTGTTTATTTTATGATAGCATGATTTACATCCTTTAAAATTACTCACTAAACCTCCCCTATTTCACACCATTCCTTTTTCTTCTCATCTTTTCCACTATGAGTTTCTTTCTACTGTTCCTAAAGATTTTGGTCTTCCGTCTGACAAACTCAGATAAATCACTTTCCTTCTCAACTGGATTTGTATTCTTGTGTATCTCCCTGGGTCTTCTTAAAGCTGGCCCACAGCCCAGTGGCACAGGCACTAAGTTGCCACTTTCTGCTTCAGTGGCCCAGGGCTCACCAGTTCAGATCCCAGGTGCAGACCTACACACTGCTTGTCAAGCCATGCTGTGGTAGGCATCCCACATATAAAATAGAGGAAGATGGGCATGGATGTCAGCTCAGGGCCAGTCTTCCTGAGCAAAAAGAGGAGAATTGGTGGTAGATGTTAGCTCAGGGCTACTCTTCCACAAAAAATTAATTAATTGAAAAAAAAAAAAAAAGCTGGCCCAAAGTTATTTCACTACAATGCTCTCCTATATTTCCTGGTCTCAGATACAGCTCAGTTCATTGTTCTAGATTCTTCACTGAATATCTAGAACTGGTAATGGGAGTGACAAAGAGAGATCTGAATGCCTAAGTGTCTCATGCTCTATGCATTTTAGAAACCTGGCCTCTGCGTCTACTTTTAGACAATGTCCCTTTAGGGTACCACCCACTGTCCTGCACGTAATGCCAGCTCCAATGAGGCCCTGAGGTGGGGACACTGAGTCCCTGGAAGCCGCATCCAGATTAGCACAGGCCTGCTCATCTGGGGCTGAGGAGACACATGACTCCAGGCCAGTCCAGATCAGCCACCTGTGACCCTGGTTGTCATTTAGTTTCTGTCATCTGGGCTCTTGCTCCTCAGTTTTAACAATTCCTGCTCACTTGGAGAAGCCCAGGGTTAAGGAATGTCCCAGGTTGGGTTCCCTAGAACACCCAGGAGGAAGACCCATGAAGATTCATTAAGACAACGCTCCCAGAAGAAAGAGGCAGTGGAGTTGGGGAAGCTGGGAGGGGAAGGCAAAGAAATCCAGAAAGTGTGCGATTTCAGGCAAAGTGCTGTGTATTCAGTGGCTTACATGATGCTTTTGTGTTGAGGAAGAACTTGGGGCCAGGCTTCCCCATGGCTAAGAGGAAAGGTGAAATGGAATATCAGAACAGGAGCAGTTGGAATACAGCAGAGCTCAGAGAGAGAACAGGAGATGGAGACGGAAGGGCCTGGCAGGGTGGCAGCACCCATGGAAAACAGAAAGGCCAGACAGAGGTCACATCAGCTGTTGAAGTGAACAAATGAGGAAGAGAAAAATTAGTGTGAAAATGAGCTAGAATCTTAGCTAGAGAGCGATAAGGAATAAGTGCATCTAAGAGCATCAATGTGATTACCTCAGCACCCTAAGCTGAAGGCCGGGGAAACTGCATGTTAGTCTCCACTTGCTGAATAGCAGCTTTCCTTTGACAATCTTCTGTTTCAGGGCACTTAAGGCATTAATGTGGCCAATGACTTGATACCCATGCTTGCTGGCAGCCAAGCCATCAAGAGCATCACCCTCCAGCTTGGCAGGGTTCTTCATTCTGAGAGAAACATCCAAACCCAAACTCTGAAAATAAAACCACAGCCAACAGGACCCATTGTCATTCATGATCTTCCTGTGACTTACTCCTCTACCCATGGGAGACATCGAATAAGCAAAGTGACCAGAACAAGAAAGGTCCTGAAAGTCCATGGGTGAGGTGAAGCCAACGGAGTCACTTTGATAGTTTCTTTTTTGTTGATCTTTCTCACACTACCCAGTAATGATATGATTGCCAGGAGGTGTGGGAGAGGCCCATCGCTTCCCCGCTGTCACCCTCTGACGACTAACAATGGACCAGAGCTTCGTATTCCCCTTTTCTCTCTCACCTTGGAAGAGCAGCCACTGGTTTCCAGAATCGTTGTTGGCTGCAATGCTCCAGATGGTGGAGGAAAGGCCGAGCCTGGCTTAGCTGTCACCACAATCCAACTGGTCCAGCTGAAGTGGCAGATCATTGGTAACCCAGGTGCTTGGCCACAGCTGTGCTTGTGAAGCTTGCACCTCTGACATTTGGAAACTCAAAGGCCTCCTGGCTGGGAGCTGAAAGGAGAAGAGAGCTCAGTAGGACCACTCCAAGTTTTCCTTTACTAAGCCCTCTCAGAGCACCCATTTCTGATGTCCATGCCTCTCAGTGAAACAACCCAAAGACCCAGACGACAAAGGCAGACATCACGTCTATGAGGGAGATGTCACCTTTATGTGTGTGCCTGGGGATGCTGAGATGGCAGGTGCCAGGATGCAGTGTCCCTGAAGTGAAAAATCACTCACTTGAGTCCACATGGCTTTGGATGGGCAGATGAGATCATACTTATTAATCTATTTTTATTAACTTAGTCGTATAGCCTAGAGAGAAGGTTCTAGAGAGGCCTTAGGACATGGAGGAGAAAGAGTTGTTGATGTGTACCCAGAAGAATAAAAGAACAGGGAAAGAAGTATGGCCTCAAGTCTTTAGGTTCCAGTAGAAAAGGGAGTTGAGAAACTGTAGAACATGGACCAAGTTATGAGAATTTTTGCAAAGTTCTGTGGCCTTTTGACCAGCCTTGTGTGTAATTTTTGACTGCCCTCCATCCACCCACACATATATATTCTATTGTCACACAAGGGTACCAGCAGCTACAGGAAATGGAGTAGAGCTCTGAGACCCTTATTGGAAACCTAGGGGCCAGAAGTGTTACAGAATCAGACTTTGTGGTTCTTCAAGGAGGTAACAGAATGCATAATCCTTACATCACACACCCCTCAGTGGGGTCTGAGCAGCTCTCCCTAACCAAACACATATACATTTCTGCTGTGAAATGAACACATACTCTCAGAAAGTTGGCTAACAAAGATTTCAAATAGCCTCAGGCCAGTCCAGGTCAGACTCAGGCGGGCTCCTGGCCCACAGGGCCTGCTCCACACTGCGATGGGCTCCCCTCTATACATCCTCATTCTCACCAAGGTTTGTTTAATTTTTTCTTGAAAGTGTCTTTGTTTATCTATTACCATTTAGTCTTCTAGATCACATACTCTATCTGACTCCCGTCATTGATTCTCCTTCTAGGAGAATCCTCCCAGATTCCTTCTAGGCGCTTTTCCTGATTCGATCCTCTCCTCACCAACAAATGTCTCACCTGTCTTATTCCCCCAAATCCTGTCCCATCCTGTGCCTGCTCTGCTGGGAGAACTTCCTCTCCCCTCTCTGCTACACTCTCTCAACTCCTCAGCTTCCTTTGCACTCCTTCCTTCTCTGTTCTGGTGCCTCTTTCTTCTCCAACACCACTTCCCACACCTCCAGTATACAAATCCTCCTTGAGTCAGCCCAGCCCCTCCCTGACCCCAGCCCTGTACCATGTGCCTCTTCTAGCTTCCAAGTCTTTTTCCACAAGCACTTCTCTCAGGCTGGTATACCCTCCATATTTCCTCGATGTGTACTTTATTAATCATCATAATTTAGGACATTTAATAAGATTTTATGATGGGCTGTGATTTATGATTTGGCTAAAGAGTAAACTTTCTTAAATTAACAAATCTGGTTGGTAAAAGGATTGTCAAAACCAGTGATAAATAAATGAAAAGTGACAGGATATATTGGAGTATATGAGGAAACTATTTGGTTTAAAACTGATCCAGCCTGACCTGGTTTTTCCAAAAGGGCCTGATGTGGCCTGTTGAGCATGCATTGTACATCTGCTTTAAATATTTACTATTCTATAAATACAATAAAAATGCCCTTAAAGATAAGGATGTAACTTCCCACATATCGGCATTTCTTTAAAGATAAGCCTTTCCCGAAAGTAAGAATTAATTACTGACCTGCTGTGCTCACCTTGTGACCACGGACCTGCTGTATTCACCAAATTGCTGTGCCAGCAAAGCACTCTCATGACTATTATTAAAGGGACATTTCAGAGCCTGCCCAGTGGTGTAGTGGTTAAGTTTTCCTGCTCTGCTTTGGTGGCCCAGGGTTTGTAGATTCAGATCCTGGGTGCAGACCTAATACTGCTCATCAAGCCATGCTGTGGTGGCATCCCACATTAAATGGAGGAAGATTGGCACAGATGTTAACTCAATGACAATCTTCCTCAAGCAAAAAGAGGAAGATTGGCAACAGATGTTAGCTCAGGGCCAATCTTCCTCACAAAAGGAAAAAAAAAGGGACTATTTCTATCATATTTGATATATGCTCTTTGTTCCGAGACAGTATATAACCACTCTGTGCACTCCACTTCTTTTGAGTGCTCCCTCCTTTGTGAAAGGACTCTCCTGGGCATATGGTCTCCAGGTTTGGCTCATAATAAACTCACCCCAATTTTGATTTATAGATTGGCTATGGATTATTTGTGTTGACATTTCTTGGCATAGTCTCAGCAGGATTTCAGAGAAACTTGCCAGAGACCACCTGGAATCTACACTGAACTAGTGTTCTGAGCCCATCTGGATCACTGCATTTTTCAGGTGACCCTGGTGAGTTTTCCTGAAACCCAGACCTCCTTATTTTAAGCTGATGGTCCCGAGAATAGATGAGCTGGGTTTTTTGGGGTTTTTTGTTTTTTTTTTTTGAGAAAAGATTAGCCCTGAGCTAACTGCTGCCAATCCTCCTCTTTTTGCTGAGGAAGACTGGCCCTGAGCTAACATCCATGCCCATCTTCTTCTACTTTATATGTGGGATGCCTACCACAGCATGGCGTGCCAAGTGGTGCCATGTCCACACCCGGAATTCAAACCAGCGAACCCTGGCCACTGAAGCAGAACGTGTGCACTTAACCACTGTGCCACTGGGCTGGCCCTTAGATGAGCTGTTTCAAACCTTAAGATTAGATGTCTTAAAGGGTTATCAGTACATACTCTAGGCAAGAGGAACCTAGGTGGGGAATTCCTAGGAAAGAGAAATCCAGGAGGATTTTCCTAGGCCAGCGGAGCCTAGGGGGAACTTTGGAGTGAATGAGGCGGGCTGACCTTTTTGATTTGGCTTTAAATTGGAAAGAATTGTGTTGACAGAGTCTGAACAAACCACTTGATAGGCAAATGAGCGTCTGAACTTGTTCGGCTCCAAAGAGAAGGGATACCAGCTCCTCCCAGCTGAAAGGCATTCTCAGGTGACTGAAAACCTTGTGAGAGTGTCAGAGGATTAATCCTCATGACAGGTAGCCATCTCATAGGGAACTCCACTATCATCACATTAATTAATTAAAAGGCTTGTCAGGGGAAGCACATATGAGGGTTGGTTGCTCACGCACTCCAAACCCCCACAGTAGTATTAGACTGCCAGCAGGAGAAACTGAGGCACATAAGAGAGTGTTTATGACCTTTCTTTAGGGAGTAACACTCATAAGCAGCACATTTCTGATCCACTCCACTGTCCCTAGAAATTGTTCAGACTTTATAGTAAAATGCAACTAGAAGAAAAACAGGAAATTGAGCTTCTAAAAGCCAACCAGTTCCCAGATGGGAAGCCTCCCCCTGGAACTCCAGCTGGCTTCATGCTGAAATTTGCAAGTGCTAAAGGAAATGGGGATAACTGTAAATGGCTGGCAAGATAACCTGGGATAATTTAAAACTACAGTGGCCACTGTAGGGCTCCTTTTTAAGAGGCAGGGAATAGAGACATTTTTAAGGAGTTGAGCTTACCACCTTCTGGCATAATTGCTCAAACTAAAAGTTCCGGAAGCTGTAAAGATTTATAGAGAACCAAAAAAAAAAAAAAAAAGGAAAAATCTTATCAAGTTTATTTTATGTCCTGAGGGCTTAGCTTAATAATCGTCAGGTTGGGGTCCCAAAATATGGTCTGACAAAAATCTGGTTGCACCCTATTTTTCAATCAGAGATGGTCAGACAGAAATTCAAGTTGCATTCCATTGAAGGCTGAGGGTCCTACGAAACTGCTGCCAGCCTCAGGTAAGTTACATTGACTACCTCAGGATGTGTGTCTTTGGCATGAGGATTTTTTGGGCTGGTTGTTTTTTTAAAAAAACTACAGGCATGAGAGCAGCTCTGAAAACCAAGTAGAAGTTACGCTTTGTAAGAGACTTTTACATTTGTAAGGGAAATCTCCATTTGTAAAGGTGTCTCCCTCTCTGTACCAGGAAGTGGGGAATGATCTTGTCTCTAGAAACTCTTATCAATGTGGAAGGTGAGGACTTAAATCTGCATAATAACCTTATTCTTGTTTACTGTGCTTTTTCTTGTACTTTCTCAAAACTGATTCTCCCCACCCCCACCAGCCTCCTTTGTCTTGCACTGAAGGGTGGCGACCTTGGCCATTCTGGCAAGTTACTCAGTTTCCTGGGTTTCTCCCATGTATACATGTTATTAAACTTTGTTTGATTTTCTCCTGTTATTCTGTCTCATGTCAATTTAATTCTTAGACCAGCCAGAAGGACCTAGAATGTAGAGGAATTGTCTTCCTCCCCTATGGTTTGATGACTTGGATGGGATAAAACTTCTCTGGCTGGATGTTGCTTGCTCCTACACTACTGTAGCTGAGAGATCCTGGACTCCTGACAAGAGCCGGCAGGAAGTAAGAGTTCTTCCCACATCACCCTCCCAGATCTCTGCCTGCAGGGCCCAATGAAGCAAGAGTAGTGAGGTTTTTTCCTTTTCTAAATTTAGATTAGCAGGAGAAAATATTGGTGAAACTAGCTCCTGGACCCAGTAACCCTGGAAAATTTGGTTTGAATACTCATTGGCTTATTGATCCTTTTCCTCCCAGAGATGGTCACTATTTTCCCTTGTTCTGTCTTTGTGTCATTTGTCATAGAAAGGGAAAAAAAAGACATTGGGCAAGATGCAGGCATCTATAAGCCTGTTGTCTGGGAATATGCATATAAGGTGAAAGCTGTTGCTAAGGGCATCTTGGAAGCCAAAAAGGCCACAAATTTGGTGGGCATGGGTCAAGCAGTTAAGAGCCGTTAGGGCACTCACCACCTCAAGAAGACTCCCATGATAGGATAAGTTGATCCTGGAATGGGGTAAATGACACAGGTCCCCCACCAATGTCAAGAAAATGTCCATGCAACAAGGTATCTGTAAGGCACACATGATCCCCAACCTGGCTGCACCTCCCTCCTGGATATTAATTTGGCTCCAAGAGACCCAAGACTTTGCTAAAGCTGCTAATGTGCATATAAGATGAGATTTTTTTCTTTTGTCTTGTTCTACATCATGAGAGTTGCTTTGTGACCTTTTTGGTCTCCACCATCCAGAGGATGCATGTAACTGGCATGCATCTTGGTGGCCAGACAAAGACTGGGTTTCTGAGACACACTCCTCTGTCTGGCTATGCCATTTCTCAGGGGAGTTTATTATAAGGGGTCCCAGTTGCTTTCATAAGGGGACTTTGTCATCACAACCTTTGTTACTTGTACTGCTTGTGCATCGAAGGCATTTGCTTTCTTAGACTATTTTTGGGAGTGAATTTTCTGGATCTTGTGAGGACTGCTTCTTTTGCATTCTCTTTTTGGGATGCCTCGTGTGTCCGTGATTAAGCTGTAAAGGCTTATTGGTTTGAGTTGCTATTAAGATCCTACTTGTCAATGTGGCCAGATGATGGATCACTTAAATTGGAAAAACTTCTAGATTGGAAAACAAAATTTTCTTTTGAGAGCTCTCATCATAATTATTTCATTGGTGCCTATGAAAAGTCCAAATTAAAAAAGAAATACAAAATAATAATAATAATATTGACTAGCCTTAATACCCTGACTCAAGGTACTAATACTTGAGAAAATGTAAAAGTATAAGTGTGGCTAAGACAATAAGGGCTAAAATGTTTGAGCTAATTTTTATAAAGAGGTTATATAAATTTTGCCTAAATGTATTATATTTTGCTGGGAATGCTTCTCCTATCCAATATTATAAGACCTATTGATAATGTCCTAATGAAAGCCCTATGATTAGAGGTATAAAAGTTGATGGAATTCAGATGAAATTTTGTGGGAAAATTGATACATTGACAGGCTTTATATGAACTTATTGCATCTCTTTTGCATGATTGTATTGTAAATTGTATTGTGGGGGTAGACGTTGTGCCTCAGTGGGGAAGATTTCCCCTGCCTGATTATAAGACAGTATATAAATCTGCCCTTCAGACAATGTTAATTAAACATTCTAAAGGGAAGTCAATAGAGGTTGCCTGAGCCCACATAGCATGAGATAAAAACTAGAGGCTAATATCAGGTGCTAATAAAAGAGATAATAAAAGTTCCTCCCAAGGTAAACTGATCTAAGGTCAAATTGTACACTTAGAAAGAGGGCCTTTGTTAAATGCTTTGTGAAGACTTTTAAAGGTATGGTATATTTCCTAGTTTTAAAACAATAGCTGTGAAGTCTTTGTGTATGTGTGTCTATATGTATGTTATATATGTGTAATATTTTTCCTGTGGATGGTATGGCCAAAATTAAGAACTTTTTAGTTGGCTCAAAGTAAGCACTTACATAAATTATTTCTAAAAGTAATAGAAATTAACCGAAAAGTTTTTCAAGTTAACATGATATGAAATAATCTTTGGTAAACAAAAGCTTATTTAAGTTTGTTGGTTTGATTAAAATAGGGACATCCTGAAAATTAGCAACATTGGATATGATGCAGACATGCAGCCTGATTTTACCAGTCAAATAAGCTCATGTTACCCCTGATACAAATTTGTCAGCAAAATAATAGCTTTAAATAATAGCTGATTTTGTCTAATGTCTCATGAAGTTTCTGTAGTTAATCTAAACTAATTGTTGGGAACAGATAATTTAGACATAAATGAGAAGCTTCTATAAATACACTTTTAGCACTAATTATAGTTTATGACACATGTATTTAAAATAGCTTCCAAAATCTCTTTGGTAACATGAAACTTTGAAGTTTTGCTAGGTTGATTTAAATGATAAAAATTCATTGAGTATCTAGATCATTTCCAAGTAAGATAAAATACTGAAACATTGTTGCTAAACATGTCTAAGTTTATCTACTTTTGGCTGCTTATTACAGAGAAACCAAAAGACATTTGGGTCTATTAGTAAATACGTCTTGTATTTTATTAAAGGATTGTACTATGAAGCAGCATGTTTCTAGAAATTATTAAAAGTGTTTATAAACTTGCCAAGCCACAAAGTGCTAATGTAAAAGACAGTTTATGATTTCTTATTTCTTGGTTTTCACTAAAATTAAAGTCTGAAAGGATTAGGAATTTTAATTAATATATGTAATTAAAACTACTAAAAATTAATAAGGAAAACATCTTTGTATACAAGGAAAGTAAGATGTGTGTTTTCAGTAAAGAAGATATGAAGAATGGAAATATTTTTGTTTTGTTAAGAAAGATAAATTTGTCCCAAAGTACTAGAAGGAGAAAAAAGGTGGCATGGGGCAAATTCTGAATGTAAAAAGGAAGTTACAGAATGTTTGTGGAAAAAGAACCTTCAGGAAAGAGTTTTATGCGTGGTCAAGTTGGCTATGATTGAAGTAAATCTAATTAAGTAAATAAGATTTAATATCAGAAGAAAGCTGGTGCAAAATTAGAATTTGGCTTTCTCTCTTAAAAAGATAATTTTCTTGAACTTTTGGTCTGCTTTTGATAAAGATATTAGGAAAAGTTTTCTTTGCTTTTGAATAAGTCTACCTAAAAGATAGAAAATCTATGTTTTGTTAAAATAATTTCCTATGTTCAAAAAGACTGAGGTCTCTCTATTAAGATTTTTCTTGACTGCTTCTGTTGTCACCTTGATTGAATGGATAACTAAGCATTGTTTCCTATTTGACCAAGTATTTTAAAACTTTTTGATATTTTTTACAAGCTTCCCCCAAAATTAAGATCCTAAAAGAAGTCTTTCTTTTGACCTGGAAAAAAAAATTGTTTTTCTTTGAGAATTTTCCGAAGGTTCCTGGGACTTCTCAGAGAAATTTGCTCTCCCTATAAAGGGGGAGATATTGTAATAATTAGGCTTGTTTAGTATGCTAAATTGCATGGGAAGCGTTTTCAAGTGAGTGATGATAAATCGCCTTAGTTATATAGCATAGGTAAATATTACTCATTATCTTAACCCTACCACCTTGTTTCCAGCACCAGAGGAAGAGAACGACCATGACTGCATTCTATTGTCTAATTTGGTTTGCAGATGGGTCTTACTTAAATGATAAGCAAGGACACTATCAAGCTGGATATGCTGTTCAGCCTTGAGAATGCCCACTACTTTCTATTAACTCTGCTAAGCTAGTAAAATATCTCCTTCTACAGGCTCAAGAAATTGCCATGGAGGAAGAGAGACAAAGGTGGCAATAAAAGGGGGAATTTTGGATAACACTACACAGATGTGTTTTGGGTCTGATAATGAACCATAGTGCCTTTTGGAGCACAATTGCCACTGCTCTAGCATTTATACCAATTATGACCCAATGGGCACCTGAAAAGATGATTTCATGGGGAAAACAATACTTTTGGATACTTTTTCCCACAGTGGCTCATAAAACCTATACTCATTGTGCTATATGCCCAAAATTTAATCTAGGGAAACTATTCCATGGGTCACAAGGCCACTTTCCCCTTTCTAAGGGACCCTTGGAGACACAGCAATTGGACTTTGTCCAAATGCCACCACCTCAAGGATATAAATATATCTTGTAATGATCTGTATGTTCTCACATTGGGTTGAGGCCATTCCTTGCAGAAGAGTGATGGCTTTAGGTAAATTGCTATTGGAAAGGATAATTGCTGTTTGAGAAATTCCTACCAAGTTACACAGTGACTGGGGAACTCATTTCACTGTACAAATAATTAAATCTATTTGTAATATTTGGCCAATAATGCAGCATTTCTACTGCACTTACCATCCCCAACTCTCAGAATTCGTGGAAAGAACTAATGGTACAATCAAAACTCAATTGGCAAAACTTTCAAAAGCATTTAATC